TCTCCCTGCTTCACTGTCCTTAAAGATTGGGAGTTCTATTGCCACAGGCCCCACCCCGTGTTACAGAAAACCCCACAGATGCTGCAGTCTTCCAGAGCCTGGCTGCGCAACAGTTTTCTGCCACTCTTGTGGGTAATGAGAAAACCTGGCAGAGGCGTGCCCAAGGGATGGCACCGCTCTCGGCCTTCCTCCCTCCCTCCCTAGGAGCATGGCCAGAGAACTGGCTGCTTGTGGAGGGGGATGTGAGCAGACCGCCGTCGGCCTCATCTCCCAGTGCCCCTTGTGGCCACGGGTGCCAACACCCTTTCCTGGGGCCTCAGGTTGCCATGATGGCTCTCCTGGCTCCCTGCCCCTCCCCCATGGGCACATCCCTTCCTCCTCTCACATCTTTGCTTGGACCTGCCTGGCTGTGACTGCTCTGGGAGCAGGGGTAGTGGGTGCACAGTTTGGGTTCCACAAGGCGCCTGGGTTGAACAGCTCCCAGAGAGCCTGGATTGGAGAAGACAACTGCACCCACAGCTGTGTTCTCCAGGACCCAGAATGCTTAGCTGTTAGAACATGGGGTGGCTGCTGTTGGGCTGTGGGTTGCCATTTTGGGTTGGTGTAATTTTTGCTCTTTCAGCTACTGAGTTGCCTCGACATAGGTCATGAATTGGCTTTTTTTTTTTTTTTTTTTTTTTAAGACAGAATCTTGCTCTGTTGCCCAGGCTGGAGTGCGGTGGCTCACTGCAACCTCCACCTCCCAGGGTCAAGGAATTCTCATGTCTCAGCCTCCTGAGTAGCTGGGACTACAGGTGTGCATCACCATGCCCAGCTAATTTTTGTATTTTTAGTACAGATGGGGTTTCACCATGTTGGCCAGGCTGGTCTTGAACTCCCCAGGTGATCTGCCCACCTCAGTCCCCCAAAGTGCTGAGATTATAGGCATGAGGCACTGAACTTGGCCCTGAATTGTTTTAAAAATTATGGTAAAATAAATAAAATTGACCATCTGAACCATTTTTAGGTGTACAGTTCAGTAGCATTAAGTGCATTCATTCATACTGTTGTGGAACCACCATGACCATCCATCTCCAGAACTTTTCATCTTCCCAAACTGAAACTGTACTCATTAAATAATAACTCCCATTCCCCCTGCCACCGGCCCCTGGCAACCACCCTTCTAGATTTTGTCTCCATGATTTTGACCACCCTAGGTACCTCCTATAAGTGGAATCATGCAGTGTCTGTCTGTCCATGTCTGGCTTATTTCACGTGGCATAACGTCCTCGGGTTTCATCTGTATTGTAGCTTGTGGCAGAACTTCCTTCCTCTTTAAGGCTGTCTGTATTGCTTTTGAGTAGTTTATACAAGTATAAACAGTACAAAATACGGAAATCTCGAGATCACTATCTTCTTCAAACTCTACTCTTCTTACCTCCAGCGGGGCACAGAAACTCAGGTGTTCCCCCAGGTAGCACGAAGCAGCCCCTTCATTTCCGCAGCTTCTCCTCCCCGGGGCAGCAGGAGTACGGTCACCCTCCTTCCAGTGAGCTCCCTCTTCCTAGTTCACAAAGCTCTGTGACATCTGGCCTCAGTGGGAGGGGAGTGGAGCACGTTATTGTCTCACCCGTCCCCTGGGGCTGGAGAGTGCTTGTATGTTCCTCGCCCCAGGCCCCAGAGCTCTGGCCAGCCTTCCTCGAAAGCTCCCAGGATCCAGGGACTATGCTGCTCCCCACGCCCTCTGCTCTGCCTCTGGGTCTTCTCCACAGTGCCCTGAGGGGCAAGGGGCTCTGAGGGCTGAAGCCAGAATTTGGGAAGGGTCAGGAATTCGAAAATACCAAGACAGGAGGCAGTGGAGGTGCTTTTTTTTTTTTTTAATCAACTTTTATTTTAAGTTCCAGGGTACATGTGCAGGATGTACATAGGTAAACATGTGTTACATAAGCAAACGTGTGCCATGGTGCATGGTGGTTTGCTGCACAGATCAACCCATCACTTAGGTATTAAGCCCAGCATCCATTAGCTCCTTTTTTTTTTTGAGATGGAGTTTTGCTCTTGTTGCCCAGGCTGGAGTGTAATGGTACAATCTCGGCTCACTGCAACCTCTGCCTCCCAGGTTCAAGCGATTCTCCTGCCTCAGCCTCCCAAGTAGCTGGGATTACAGGAATATGCCACCACGCCCAGCTACCTTTTTGTATTTAGTAGAAACAGGGTTTCACCATGTCGGCCAGGCTGGTCTGGAACTCCTGACCTCAGGTGATCCACCCGCCTCGGCCTTGCAAAGTGCTGGGATTACAGGCATGAGCCACCGCGCCCAGCCCATTAGCTACTTCTTAAAAGGATCTTTCTTCCAATGCAGCTGTGGATCCAGTGAGACGTAGGGTTTACTTCAGACACCCGCCAACTGACACCATTTCTCATCTCCTTCCTCCTTCGGTGAAATCAGCCTCAGACTTGCACCCACCCTAGAGCGTCTTTGATTCCAACAGTGTCTCACAAATATTGCAATGCACACACACCACTGGGACTTGGTTATGATGCAGATGATTCTATTTTAGTTGGTCTTTGTGGGGCCTGGATCCTGCAATTCTAACCAGCTGCCAGGTGGTATCCACTTTGTGGACAAGGCTTAGGAATTCCTGGCTCCCATTTCAGACCTATTGCATCTCAATTTCTTGGAGGAAGGCTGGTCGGCTCCCCCAGGGCACGCTGCACTGTGATGCGTTAATGCCTGGGTTTAGAGGCTGGTCCTCCATGGGGCAGCTGAATGGTACTGCCGCCCTGGCTTAGATATTCACTCCCTAGGGTTGAAGCTGTGTCCAGGGGGGTGTCACCATAGGAAAACCAGAGGGTCTCCTTCTTCCTACTGTCAACAGCATCCTCAACTGCCAATGGAGAGCCAGCTGTGTGCAGAGGTTGCCAAGATTACAGGGGCTCAAAGGTGCTGGCCCTGCTTCTAGAACATCCCTGACTGGCTGGGGTGCCACCGGGGCTAAAAGAGCTGAAGGAGCAGAGGATCCGAAGGTCATTGTCTTACTTTTTTCTTTTTTTTTAGACGGAGTCTCGCTCCGTCGCCCAGGCTAGATTGCAGTGGCACGATCTCGGCTCACTACAAGCTGCGCCTCCCGGGTTCACGCCATTCTCCTGCCTCAGCCTCCCAAGTAGCTGGGACTACAGGTGCCCACCACCACGCCCGGCTAATGTTTTGTATTTTCAGTAGAGACGAGGTTTCACCATGTTAGCCAGGATGGTCTTGATCTCCTGACCTTGTGATCTGCCTGCCTCGGCCTCCCAAAGTACAGGGATTACAGGCGTGAGTCACCACACCCGGCCCATTGTCTTACTTCAAAAGTGAAAGGCCAGTGTCCCCTTCGGGGAGGACCCCCACAACTCAGCCCAGAGCCGGCTGCTGGGGTATGTTCACCCACCCAGTTCCCTACAGGTGTCTCATCTTGCCCTCTGTCCACCATGGGTCCCAGCGCTCGGCTGAAAACTGCCCTCAGCTTCCAATCTTGACTATAACAAAATTTAAGGTCCAGGGAACTAAAAGTAAATTATGTTCTCCAGCTCCCTCATACCCAGGCGAGTCAATCACTTTTGCAACATTCACCTGCTCATTTCCTGTCATTCTGGTAGCTCTCTGGGGATTAAGATAACGCTAAGGTAGGCACGCTGCTATGTTACTGAATTCCAGGAAGGTCACAGGCAGGCAGGATGGGCTGCTTCTCTCCGTTACACAAAGGGGGAGCTCAGGTTCAGCGAGATGACCCGCGCCATGTCGGGGGCTAGTCAATGGCAGAGCTGGACTCAACCCCACGTCTGCTGGCTCCCAGCCTGACTTTCTTCCCACCATCCTTAGCTCTTTGCTTAAACATTTACTCCCTGGTGCTGGGGATGTGGCTATTTAGAAGCGGTGGTTTTACCAGACAGTTTCTGGGAGGTCACAGAAACCCTTGTTTCTAAAAAGGCCCTGTGGTCTCCAACAGCCACCCCTCAGCCAAGCTGCTGGCTGCACGGTCCGCTGCTCGCTGTCTGTGGAGGCCTCACCTGGTTCTGCGTTTTGCTTTCCTTCCTCACTGAGCAGACTCTGGCTCCTGCTACTACTCCCCCAACTGTCCTCCACCCACCTTTGCCCTCCTAGGGGGAGGCTCGAATGGTTACACCCGGATCCTCGTTGCTTGGCGAGGCCCACATCGTCACTACACAGGCTCCTCAGCTGAGGCTCCTCCATTCCATTGCCCCGGAGGAGCCGACCGTGCCAGGGTCAGCTCAGCCGTGTTCCTGCTTCGGCCCAGCTGGTACACAGGATCCCCTCCCATCAGCAGCACTGGGCTCCAGATACACCACGGGTGCTGCTTCCTTAGATCATCCCAGACAGCCCGATGCCCCGAGCTGGCCAGCAGCCACAAGAGCAGCCTCAGAGCGCCAGCTCAAAGCCCACAGGGGCTGCCTCCATTTCCGGCAACAGTCAGCAGAGGCAAGGATGGGGCTGGGAGTCAGGCAAACCTAGATCCTCAGCCCACCTCCCCACTGGCTTGCCCTGTGCCTTGGGCTAGAGCCCCGATTTCATTTCTAAAAATGTGGTCCTATAACCTGCCCCCTTGGAGTCACTATCATCGCTATTGGCTGTGGTCGTGAATGTAGGTGCTTGCACACAGGGTTGCTCAAACATTGTTCCATCCCTCCTTTTTCTAGCCAACCGAGCAGCTCAAGATCAGGGAAACCGCGCATTTAGGGCAAGATCATTAATCATCACAGTGTAAACACAATCCTTAGCTTGCTCTAAAGCTCTTTCCAGGAGAAGGAGGACGTTAATATAAATGAGAACCTGCACATTTACCTAAAACTCAGCCCTGCTATACCATCCCCCAAGATGGAGAGAAAACCTGAAGTCCAGCAGTTCAGCAAGGGGCACCCACAGAGCACGGGTGGAGGGCCACGGGCCAGACACAAGCTTGAATGGAAACTGTTTCAGGCCGGGTTTTACGGTCTTCATCTGGTTCAATAAGAAATCCTTGTGCAACTGGCCGAGTCAATATTTTATTAAAAAACGCATAAACATGTGTACAATGGTAACAAAGGCGGAGACGGAGAGGAGACGCGAGATCTCCTTAGGGACAGGCTAACCACATAGTGTTTCTACAGGCACGCCTCGCTTCAGGAAAGAGGGTATCTCTAAGACTGGATTGACAAGCTAGATAAATTAGGAGGGGGCTTTGTTTCTTAAGGCGCTTCACTCCCCACTGAGGAGTGAAGTAGAAGGGATTTAGGCAGGAGTATTCACAAACCCCTCCAGTACCTGAGGTGGTTCTAGAAGCAGGAAGGCAGAAAACAGATTTCCCTGGAGGCTGCTTTCCTTTTCCAGAAGGGGAGGAATATTCTCCCCGGAAGGCTGGAGGAAGAGTTTCCGGCTGGCTCAGGAGCTCTGGGAGCTGGCTTCCGGGGAGAACAGGAAGAGGGGGCAGGCCTTTCTTTCCTGGTTCCCACCAGCCTGACAGGACTTTGGCACAGGAACACAGGTCCACAGGCCTCGCCTGGAGTACACGTCCTCTTTGCAAAGCTCCTGAGGGGCCCAGGGGTTGTGGCCTCATCAGACGGCTGTATCTTGGGAAGGAAATGGCAAAGTCAGGACAGCTTGCCAGGGATGTGGCCCACCCACAAGCCACACTCCACAGGTTTGACTCCAAGTTCTGCTCGGGGGGCACCTCTGTCCTCCACCCAGCGCCGACTTTCACTGAGATGATTCTATTTTTTAAAAATACATTTCCAAACAAGAAAAAAACTTCGGTAGCACAGAGGAGACTCCCATCCCCACGCCCCACACCTCAGTCTTACCTCAGCAGTAACTTCCATAAGCCCTTTAGTTGTTTCTTTTGGTGATTCTTCCATAATTTAAAAACCGACTTATACCAGTATTTATAGATTTATGCTGTTAGACATCACCTATTAACTTCTTTTTCCCCTTACATTCTCTACTTTTAAAAACCATTCTTTTTGTCTTAAACAGCTTTACTGGGATATTTTAATAATTCATATACCATACAATTCTCCCATCTAAAGTGTTTTTCAGTATATTCACAGACTGCGGCAACCACAATTTTAGAACCTTTGCATCACCTCAAAAAGAAACCTCATCCTCATTAGCAGTCACCCCTGAGTCCCCTCCCCCAAGCCCCAGGCTGCCGTAGGTCTACTTTCTGTCTCTATGAATCTGCCTGTTCTAGACAATTTTTATTAGAGAAATCCTACACTCCATGGGCTTAGTGTAGGATTCCATGAGTAATGCCCTCAAACAGGAGGCAAGTTAAATAAACTGCCCAGTCATGCCATGGACTTAATGCTGCAACCCACGGAGCCACTAAGAATTCCTAATGATGCTGGGAAAATGTTTGATAGGTGGCTAAGGAGGAGAAAAAACAGGTTATGAAACAGCACATGAAATTTGATCCTTTTAATAAAAGCAACAGATACGTATTTTTTCAGAGAGAAAATACCAAAAGGATAGATACTCAGTGCTACTTCTGGGTAGTGTGATGACAGATGGCTTTTTCTTAATTTTTTAAAATACATTTTTCTTTTTTTTAGAGACAGAGTCTCACTATGTTGCTCAGGTTGGTCTCAAACTCCTGGGCTCAGGTGATCCTCTTGCCTCAGCCACCTGAGTAGCCGATACTATAGGTACACACCGCTGTCCCTGGCTCAGACGGTTTCTATTAAAAATATGTTTTTATCTGTATTTTCTAAAAACCTACATTTTATTTTTGTCATTAGGAAACTTAAGAAAAAGCTGGCTGGGTGCAGTGGTTCGTGTCTATAATCCCAGCACTTTCAGAGGCTGAGGTGGGAGGACTGCTTGAGCCCAGGAGTTTGAGACCAGCCTGGGCAACATGGTGAGACTCCATCTCTTAAAAAAAAAAAAAAAAAAAATTGAAATTAGGCATGGTGATGCTGCACACATGTAGTTCCAGGTACTCACGAGGCTGCGGTTGAAGGATCACTTGAGGCTGGGAGGCAGAGGCTGCAGTGAGCTCTGATTGCACCACTGCGCCAGCCTGGACAACAGGGCAAAACCCAATCTCAAAAAAAAAAAGAAAAAGAAAAGTAAAGAAAGAGAGAAAGCAAGCAAGCAAGCAAGCAAGCAAGAGAAAAAAGCTTGGCCACCCGAGGCTGAAATGCTAGGGCATCCTTGGATGTGTGGGCATGTGAGGGGAGATTCTGGGGCCACATCTCCCCCTTTGCCGGCCCCTGGGCTCTAATACTACTTCTAAAGTCCCCTTGGGACACAGCCTTCTCACCAGCAGGGTTTGTCCCTATGGCTGAAGTCAAGAACAAGCCATCCCCCTGTTCCTGGGAGACCCTCTGTGCACAGATAACCAGAACTCACCTGTGGACTGGGTTACACACGAGATCTTGTAGGACAGCCATACGCTTGCCATGCAGAGGAAGGTGGCCATGAAACCAAAGATCTGCAGTGGAGAGAGGGGAGAGGAAGTTCACGGGCCGTAGGGCCAATTACTCGGGCACTCCTGTCTGCTTCTCATCTCTGCGCTTGTTCCCTTCATGCCTCTGGCCAGAAAGGAGCTTGGAGAGTCATCTAACCCAACCACCTCATCCTGGATCAGGTGCAGAGAGGAAGCCCCAAGAGGCCCAGCCGCTGGCCCCGGTCCCCCAGGTTGGGCCAGGTCAGGGCTGGCAGCCAGGCCTCTCGGTCTTTTGGCAGCCTCAGTGCCTGGTTTGGGTTTACATTTACAAGAGAGCTGGGGCTAAGCCAATGGACTTGGATTATCCTAGACCAGTAGAGAAGAGAAGGGTGAAATTTTAACTTGGGCTTAAAAAATCTGAACGTTCACATGATTTGTGGTGTAGTGGCATTGTTCGCATTTCATCTGTAATGGTTTTCTGTTCCGTTCTGGCTTTACAGCCGTATAAGAACCAGAAGCTGAGGTCTTTACATCTAGGTTTATGTTTGTACATATTAAACAGTATTAGACTAAACTAAGTTAAGGCAGCACCCTTTCCCTTTTTCAGGGTCATCTGGCGCTCAAGTGTGAGGAAGGCTGACCTAGTCCAGCCCCCTCACTTGTAGATGAGACTCGGGTGCTGGAGAGGAAGAGCACCTGTGGGGAGGCTATCAAATGGTCGAGGGAGAGGCAGTAGCTTCTTCTGGAATCTCTGGGCTTTGAAGCCTGCAGCCGTTTTCCTTGCTTGTGAACAACACTGGGAGCTGCAGTGGTGAAAACTTACTGACCACTTTACTACATCCCTACCAGGGTGCGAGGCTCTGTGGGTGTATTGATTCCTTTAACCCTCACAACTCAGCTGGGTGGGAGCTACGATTACCCACCCCTGCTCCTCCATTTCACAACTAAAGAAACAGAGGTACAGGCGGTCAACTATTTTGCCAAAGGCCACAGAGCCAGCAAGGGCCAGATATGGGATGGGAGCCCAGGAAGCCTGACTCCAGAGTCTGCGCTCTGCAGTACCCAGTGCCTAGGTATTCTCGGACCCACGCAACAGCCTCCACTTCACTACACCAGCACTGGCGTCCGGTGAGAATGGCACAGGGGCAGCTAAAGGGTAGGATTTTCAACAAGGTTTGGTTTTCTTTTCAAGCCCAGATGCTGCTTTACATAAACAGCTGCCCCCACTTCTTCCCTGGGTTCCTTTTCCTGGGCTCCTTTTGTACCCGTTGTCTGCAGCACATAATTAGCCTATTAAGAGCCTGTCCCGGCCTCCCATTGTCTGTTCTGCACAATTAGCACATTATATACCATCCCAGCCTCCAAGTGTCTGCATTGCATAATTGAACAGTTTATTGTATCGCTACAGAATGCTATTCTAGACTACGATGCCTTGTTTGCTAATTGTTTCATGTGTCTTGTCTCCTAAGCTAGATGACCACTTTCTTATAAGCAGGGACCATATTTGAAAAATTTCTTCTAACTTCCTCATAGCCCAGGTTTGGTCCTAGGCACAAAACAGCATATGATGAATGTTAGCTATAGACATTCCAGGGCTAAACAGTTACGTGCAACCTGAATTACCAAACACAGTGGGAATCTCCCCAAGTGGGCCCGGAAACACAGTGGGCACAGGTCTCCTGCATGCCTCTTCCAGCACCCTGCACTGTAGCTGGGCAGGTGTTAAGCTGCAGGGGGCAACCATCCCTCTCTTCAGAGAGGGCAGAGAGAGGGGGCAGAGGGGTGGGGCGGTGGGCTGTGGGAGGGCCATGTGGAGCATCAGTGTTGGGAGGTTTGGCCACCCTCTACAGTGACCTTCTGCCCCCATGCTGACCTTCAGAGGACAGACTCCATCCCTCAGTGGAATTCCAGGAGCCAACCCACTCCCAGGCCAAAGTCTGGAAAGTTTTGGTAATATGTGTAAGTGAAAGACAATGAATGTCACATACAGAAAGAGCTTTTTTCTCTTTTTCTTTTTTTAAGACACGGGGTCTCAGTATGTTGTCCAGACCAGACTCGAATTCCCGGGTACAGGCATTCCTCCCGAGGGCCTGGGACTACAGGTGCATGCTACCACGTCTGGCTTCAGAGAGCTTTTCGTAAAACTCATTTTTAAAATCTTGTCTACTCATCAGTGAAGCCAATCAGTGTTGGCCCACAGGTCACTGAACTATAAACAGCTAAATCAGAAATCAGATGACAGGAATCTATGACTCTTTAAAAAATAGTATATACATCTGTATATACTATTATATACAGATACTATATATATATATGTATATGTATACTATACATATACATATATATGTATGTATATATCTCACAGGACTGTAGTTTTGTATATTTCCATCTGCTTCTATTTATGGCTATCAGATGGATCAATTTTTGCCTCTGAAAGATACAGGAGTATTATTTCCTGGCCTGCATACTGTTAAAAATCAGGAATGGCAAAGCTCAGGCTCATGGCATGTATCTCTAACTGATCACAGTACATTTCCCACTGGGCCCAAAAGAGGCCCCAGAATCTGTCTCCGCACAGTGTTGAGGCATCCAACGAGCAAATGATCAGAGTGGGTGTGTGAATTAAAACCCGCTTGGCCCCCTGATTTCAGTAGTGGCTGTAAGAGAGAGTGGCCTGGGCTGCTGGGGCTCTGTGAATTTGCCGGCAGCCCTGACAATCCACCTTCTGGGACTGGACGCCTCTGCTTAAGGCTCTTTGAAGAGAGCTGATGACTGGATCAAGGTAGGTGTTGATTCTATGAAAGGAATGCCCCAGAAACCAAACCCTTCTCTTCCCCCATCAGGAAGAAAATGAGCATTTTAAATATGAATTCATTCCTAAAGGCTCCCCAAAACGTCCTCACCGCTCCGGCTACCAGTCCGCTCTGATTGTAACTCTTGGAAGCTGCCACGATGGAGGCGATGAGGAGGAGCAGGGTACCGATTAAATAGTGCAGAAGTTCCTGGGGGCAGAAACAAAGCAAAGAAGTGGGTAGGGTGGTCCATTCCTGGTTCGGGAAGAGCAACTGGGCATCAGAAGAGATGAAAAGAAAGGGAGAGAGTGACGCTTCCTCTTCTCCCTTGCAACACACAGATGGGATGAGCAATGCAGCTCGCAGGCAGCCAACGTGGGGGCTGAACAGGAAGAGGCCAAGCAAGACAGAAGTGATGCCGGGCAGGTGGGAAGGGAAGAGGACAGAGAGAAAGGAAGCTTCCAGTGTGAGCAGAGATAGCCACTAAGGACTCCTCTACTCCTGAGAGCAATATGTGGACAGTGCCTTCACCTTTGGCTAAAGCTACTAAAAGGCAAACGAGCTTCTTGCAACTTCCTGGCTGGAGAGTTTAAAGAAAGCTCCAGCTCTGAGAAGCACAGTGCCTTAAAGAGATATTTGCCTTTCTCTTCTGCTTCAGAGGAAGTTCTGGGCTAACAATATGCTGGTCTCGTGTGACTGACTGGAGTGTCTGCCCACTATGTGAACGGCCCCGAGTGTGGACCTGAGAGGTGTTCATTCCCGGGGCCTGTCAGACTCAGACTCTAGAATGAGGTCAGTGGCACTTCCGTGACGTGCCTGTGGATGTGTGGTGGGAGCTGGTTTTCTCACTCCTGAGCCTTCCTGCCCCCTCCTTTTTTTTTTTTTTTTTCAGTCGTTCCCTCTTCTCTTTTCTCCAGAAGAGTGCCCTCCCGGCCAAGCTCTGCCGATGAATCCACTGGCGGGACTAGTTCCACCTCTGCTTCTTGCCTTGGCCCATGGGCTGTGTATCTCCACCCCACTCACTCATCATGATTAATCAGCATCCTTGCAGGCCCTGGATGAGACCAGGCCTTTCAGTAGCGAGGGAAAGCTTCCGCCTCACCCTCTCTCTTCCCCATTAAACATCAGATCAGAGAAGAACTGAGGCTGGCGGCCACTTCCAGTGCTTGCCCTGAATCCAGGGTGCATCCATTTTCAGTTGTCTTCAATGAGAATTTAGAAATCATTCCTTCATGAAGTTTTGTCCCTTAGGGCAGGCAGCTATTAAATTTTGGAAAAGCATTCCAATTTAAAGCTGTAGCTCCTCTCAAAGCTATGTACAATCAAAGACCCTGGTTTCTCCCTTAGTGACTAGAAAGGAATATCACAAGATAGCTCACAGAGATTTTAACTAAAGAGCAGATGAGTAACTGCAAGTTCCCCACCTCCAAGATTCTCACCTATTAAGACAGAGGAGGATGACACGGGGCAGAGAAAACCTACTTGAGAGAATCCTAACCGGAAGTACCTACACAGTATCTAACCAGAAATGTGTGGCTCAGTCTGTCCTTCCAACTTTCACTCCCCACGCAGCCCACTCTTGTGCTTGTCGCTGAGCTTCTGTTCTCTCCTTTGCTTGTTCAGTATCTGCATCAGGTAAGCCCCGGAGGAATTTGTTTTCAAAAGAAGCAGAAAAAATGCCATAGCTTTGAAAGGGTCCTTAGAACTTAGAAACACAAAGGAAATTTCTCTCAAGATAACAGTGGGTAATATGTTAAATGTGAACAATTAAACAATCTAATCAAGATGCAGAGGTGGTCAGATTGGATTAAAAAAACAAAACAAAACAAGATATAACTACAGTATGTGCTGTCTATGGGACAGAGACTTTATATTCAAAGATAAGGATATGGCATGCAAACGACAACCAAAACAAAGCCAGGGTGTCTGTACTGCATCAGACAAAATAGAATCGAACACAAAAAAAGTTACTAGAAATAAAGAGGGACATTTTATAATAATGAAAAGCTGAATCCATAAGGAAGATACAACAATTACAAACATATATACACCTAATAAAAGAGCCAAAGCACATGAAGGGAAAAATGAAAAAAACGAAGGAGAAAAACAGACAATTCAAAAATAATAGTTGCAGAATTCAATATCCCTCCTTTCAGCAATGTATGGAACAACCAGGAAGAAGGTCAACAAGGAAACAGAAGATTCAAACGCCACCATAAAATGACCAGACCTAAAAATCCTGTATAAAAACTC